ATTTGAATGACAATGTATACCTAATACCTATGTTCCATAAAAAGTGTTAATGAACGTCGACGCTGTTATAGGTACCGTTAGATGTCATAATTGAATTAAAGTTTTCAAATTTTTACTGCCTTAGTTGCTATTTGCATAAGAATAGCTTTGTTCGCAATCCGTTTTGGATAGTTTGTTACAATAAGCGAGGAAGCAAATTTCAAATTGAAAGTGTTGCTCATTTCAAGCATTTCTGCCTATGATTTTGAGCAATATTGGTTGTTCTGAGTTATACATGTCCGTTTAGTCCCACCAATTGCTAATTTCTCTTTTGTGAATCTATCGGTGTTTCAAGATACAGCAGCAGTCTTTTGTGAAATGTTTCAAAAACTAAAGAGTTAAAAAAGACTCGATCGTCTTGACTTCTTTGGGATGGGTGTGGGGGAATATTCAGTGAAAACTAAAAGGTATGTCGACTGAAGAGCCGAACAAGTCAAAAGGCATTAGCATTTTGTATGTCGTAAGTATTAACACGCGCAGTGGAAGGGTTGCGAGTACTACGCCCAGTGGAAGGGGGGGGGGGGGGCGGATGTCGCCTCCCCCTAAGATCTCAGCTCCCACTGGAGCTAGAAAAACGAAATTTGGAGGGTAGGTGGGGGCCATGGGGAACTCTGTTGTGTGTGAATTTCATGACCCTAGGTCAATATCTTCAAGGTCAAATGAGGTCAAATGTGGTCAAATCTGCCATATGAGCGACTTTTTTGCGTTTACACGCCGATAACTCAAAAAGTTACCGGCCGATTTTCTTTTTTCTTTCACTATACGAAAGAACAAACAGTTGTGAGTATGTATGGTGAATTTCTAGATAATCCAACAATAAATACGGCAGTTAGAAGCCTGCTAAGGGTAAGATGTCGCCGGCTGAAGCGAGATCGGCCGACGCGGGAAACGCGGCAATCACAATTTTGTGTTTACACACTCATAACTCAAGTTGTTACCGGCCAATTTTCAAAATTCTTTGACCATATGATTGCCTGTACATTTCTCAGTCTTCTCACAGAATTTGACGCGAATCTAATATAATCAGCGGTAAGGAGAGCGATGTAAAGACGGAACCGTCCCGCCCCGGCACAGTCTACAATTCAGGCGGCGCGTAATGGCTAGCGCCGGCCGCCGCGCCGCCGGGGCGGCAGGATGTTTGACTTTACACCGCTATTACTAGAAAAGTTGTGAACCGATTTTCTTATTTCTTGCACGAGAAGATCCACAATTCAATTCTTGACAGGTAGCCGAAATTTCACATTAATATTATGTTAGCAGCGTGAGTTATTGGCGAAAAACAGGAGGGGTGGGCGAAATCCGCCCCCCCTTCCACTGCGCGTGTTAAAAGCATTGCCGTTTCCAAAAGTCAAAGTGGTAAGACTTAATCCGTCTTTTGTTAAGGAATCGGATCCTACGCCTCATCTAAGGCTATATAAGTGTCATCTGAGACGGACAATGTCAGCGGAACTCTGTTGGCGCCTGGGACCTGGCGCTACCGTGTGACAGTTTTGGCGGGTCTGAAAAGCGGCGCGCGCGCCGCGCGTGCGGCGGCTGTGTGTCGCCGTCGTGCTCGGCAGCGCTCGTCAGACAACCCCCGGTCACACGCGCTCTGCACCCGGCCGACAGACGCGCCAGACGCGTCTCGAGCGCGCCCGCGCTCATTTCCATACGAAACCGCTCGTGCATTTTTAGGGGAAATGTGGAATTTTGAAGGGGGACACAAAGGTGGCGACAAAATAAATCAGCTGTCGCGCATATGCAAATTACTCTAATTGTGCCGCTGCGTTCGCTCCGGTTTGCGCAGCTGCGCCCGGCTAAAACTTCACAAACACATGGCCCCGAGTCGCGGCGCAATGCTAGGGCGGAAATGACAAAGAGAGTTATATTCTGGGGGAAATCGAGGGACAGCGAGAGGGAGAGCGCAAAACAGGGAAACCCAGTCGCTGATTATCGGCGGAAATACATTTATCCCCCCGGCCCCGGGCGGCGCCTGGCAGGGCCGTCACGGTACGCGAAAACGGTCCCCGGCGCGAGTGAACAACTGGAACCGCCAGTTGCGACTGTAATTGGTTTTAACGTATAATGCAATATTTCAGTTTGAATACAAACCACATTGTTTCTTATTGCGGGGCGTTGTTTTTTTTTTTAACATGTTTTAGCTAGGTTAGGTATGATGAATGTCTCCTATTGAAATGCAGTTTCACGTGACACGAATTTAATGCAACGAATGTGACAGAACTATGCTGGCGAACCGATATGGTCCTAACATTGTTGATGGCTTCAATTTTATTTTCAATTAGTCAATCTTCAGTATGGTATCCGATAGATTTGGAGGTAGATGGTTGTACCTTTCAGCTGGGATGTCTTGTGTCGATTTAGTTCCAAGCACTCCGTTAACGCAACGTTGAACACCTGTGCCTCTGAATTCGGTGTCAGCTGCGCAGTAGCGATGCCTTATGAGTGCGGGATACCGGCGAGCATGAGGACGGGAGAAATGGCACGACTGATGTGGCCAGGAGCGATGGCGGTACTGCTTCCAGGCTGTGTGAGCTCCTACGGACTATTTCGCCATAAGCTGGTTGGCGAATAACGTCTCAGTCTTCATTATTGACAGTATAAGTGCCGTCTTTGGTGTCCGTTCTAATTTGCCAAAGGTGTACCTATTGATTTTTATATTTATGCAGCGTGAAGTTTTTTTAGGGTAAAAACATGCCTAAGTATCCTAAATATAAATAAGTATATATAAACAAAAATTAAATATCACTTAAGTAATATATGATATTGACTATGTGGTCTGACTTTTTGCTGTCAGTTCCCTGTCAGTATGAATCTGTGACGGGTGCGGGACGGTCGGTTAAAGTGCCGCCCCGGCAGCGGCGGCGGGGCCACGTGCCGAGTTGGAACACCTGGCGGCGTCCGCTGGGGACGAGCGCTGACGGCCGCCGCGCGGAGGCTCATTATTCACACAGCCGACCATGTGCGACGCCTGCCGTGTCCGCCCCCGGCCCGGCCCGGTGCCCGCCGCCCCACGGCAGCCGACCGTGGCCGATTGAACTGGCCCGCTGTGGAGGACGGCACACCACCTGCCCGTCACGTCATTACACGGGCTTCGCGCCGCTTAGTAACATGGCGCTAAAAATAATGATGTCTTTTTTGACCGATGCGTCCACCGTCCGCTGCTCAGCTTTTTTTTTGCGCAGTGTTTGCTCCTCCGATTATGGACAGTACAGTTCGGCTCCGGCAATTGAGTCATTTTTTTATAGAAATAGAGGTTTGGGGCAAAATGCGCCCATTGCAATGTTTGTGCCGCATTTTTTTTAAGATCTCCATTGAAAATTATTGCGCTTTAACGCTTCAATTATACTTTCATTATGCTGCTTATAATTATTATTATGCTACATTCCATTTATATCACTCTTCCTTGACGCTCGAAATCCATGGTTTCCAAACCCGCAGTCGGTCCGTGAGCCAGCTCACTGCGCATTGCCGGGTGACCTGTGGGCCGCTGCGGTCGGGCCGGCCGGCCCCACCCGGCGGGCGGCCAGTTAAACCGACGGCCACTTCTCACCCCACCCGACGGGCCAGCCGGCGATCAATAGGCGCGCCGCCGGCCGCCTGGAGGGCTGCTCCGAATTCGGGCGGCCCGGCCGCTGGCGCCGCCGCCCCGAGGCCGCCGCGCCGGCGCCGCCGCAGCTCGCTCGACCCGATCAATACGCGCTCAAATTCGCCATCTTCCTCGCTGGCGGCAGTTCACAGCGCAATCGTGGCGGTGGGCGGCGGGCGGGGTGGCGGCGGCGCGGCCGGACGCGCGCTGCGCAGGCGCACCGGCCGCCGCACCGCCTCGTGTTCGCACAACATGTTTTGGCCATCGATCCGACCGGCTTTGGTTATTGGCTTCAAGAGGCCTGAAAAGGCGCGAGCGGCAGCGGGCGGCTCGGTGCCTGGTGCCGCCCGGACCGAGTGGATCGGCCGCCCCCGCCCCCGCTCCCGCTCCCGCTCATCGATCAGTCCATGACGCGGGACACACGCTGACTCAACTCGCACCTCCAGTAGATGCGCGGCCGCCGGCTATAGCGGGATGGTGCAGGTGCCTAACTGACTACCCAAATATACAGATGATGCCAGTAGCACAGTTTTGTTAAGCTAAACTTGTGTGGTTCGAAGTTGAATTTCTTCGATTCCTCCTCTTTCATAAAGCTGTGATTTGTTTTAGGAAGTTTATATACCATGTTATAACCATGTTATAGCTGTTTGATGTGTTCGAATTTTGTTTGTGTAAGACGGCGACCCGGACTTCTTTTCCTTTCGTGTCCATTCACTTGCAGTGTGAACCGATGAGGTGTCAGGTGTAAGAATAAATGTCTTTTTCGCTATTGCTAAATATGCCACTGTAAGAAGTAAAAATATGGTACAATTTGAAGCATCACAGGTTGTCCCTGCAAATGGTTAAATTTGAACAAGTGATAACTAGCTTGATCTACGAATACTTCCTATAAACTCATGTATGTGAGTTCTTCCAGACAAAACTTAGGCATTTCGTCTTCGACTTCAGTTGCACCTAGATATAAAACAAGCTTCACTATAAAAACGGTCGACTATACGTAGGGTAGGTGTTTGATTGACTATCGCGTCTAGGCTTAGTTCTGTACGTATATCGATTGGTCAGTATTCAATATCGTATCTGATAGATTGGAGGTAGATGGTTGTACGTGTCAGGGACGCAGGATGCGTCTCTGGAGCTACACTACACGAGTACCCGCGTAACAGCACCCAAGCTACACTAACACACAGGCACATTGCAAATACACGCATACTGGAATAGCTGAAGTCACCCTGAGATCGTTGAACAGACTTTAAACCCGCCAAATCACCAACTCTCGCACCTTACTTACGGCTGTCGGCCGCCTCTGGCCTGTGGCTGTCCTACCAGCGGAGGCCACCTCTGGCCTGTGGCTGTCCTACCAGCGGAGGCCGCCGGCTCAGGCGGGCAGCAGCGTCAGCCTCAGCTCCGTCTTCTCACACAGCCGCCTGAAGACGGGCAGCACGGCGTAGGCGGGCGCCAGCAGCGGTGACTGCTGCGCCTCGGCGGCCGGCTGCTGCACCAGGAACGCCTGCATGGTGTAGTCGTCGGCGGCGCCGGCCGGCGGTGGCAGTGGCAGCGCGTACAGGTGCGGCACCGCCTGGCCGTCGGCGCCGCGCCGGTGGTGGCGCCGGACGTGGCGCCGCACCAGCGCGCGCAGTCGCGAGCTGAATCCACAGCGCGTGCAGCGGTAGTTTCGGTTGAGGTAGCCCCGCAGCAGGCTGGCGGCGTACGGCAGCCGCGTGTGGCCGTGCTTCTGGTGCCAGTGGCTGAGGTAGTGGTGCCGCTGCGGAAACCGCAGGCCGCACGGCTTGCAGCGGTACGGCCGGCGGGCCGGCGGCCGGCGCGCGGGCCCCGGCGCCGGTCGCTGTGGCTGCAGCTGCAGCAGCGGCTGCTGCCCGCTCGGAGGGTCTGCGGCGGAGTCGAGGAGGGCCGCGGCCGGCGCGCCGAGGGGAGGCAGCAGGCCCATCAGCCGCTCGGCTGGCAGGAACGGGGGGAAGGCGCCGGCCAGCGGGCCGAACGGGTGGCGCAGCAGCTTGTCGCCGAGCTGGGACTGCTCCAGGGCAGCGGCGGCGCCGTTCAGCGCCGGCTTGTCGCTGCCCTTCTGGTCGTGGAACGGGTGAACCTGCATGACGTGCAGCCGCAGCGAGAGCAGGTCCGGCAGACAGTGGCCGCACAGGCTGCACGGAGCGCCCATACTGGGTGGGGCAGCCGACTTGTGCGACGAGCTGCTCTTGCTCTTCTTCTCTTTCGGCGCGCCATGCTCACTGGCCATGTGTGTCTCCAACAGCTTGGCCGTCTTGAACTTCCCGCTGCAGACTGTGCACACCTCGAGTCCCTCCTCCTCTTTGATAACGGGGTCGTTGTCCGGAGACGACTTGTCGTCGTCGGGAACGTAGATGCCGTGCGTGTTCTGCTTGTGGACCTTCAGGAAGTATTTGCTGCAGAGCTCCTTTTGGCAAACATCGCACTTCACGCCAGCCTGATTCTGATGGTTGTCCATGTTTATGCCGTGCATCTTGATCATGTGAGTTTTCATGAAGTACTTGTTGCAGAGCTCTTTGTTGCAAATTTCGCAGTAGCTTCGGCTGGTGCTCGCTGGTTTGGGCCTTTCCAGCTTCTTTTGACCCTCGACTTCAAGGCGAATTCTTGCTAGGAACGCGGTTTCATTCATCGGCTGCGCTTGGGCTTGAATGCCATGGGCAGTTTGCATATGCTGTTGCAAGAAAAACTTCGCATAGAAGTCCTTATTGCAAACACTGCAAATCGTCTCTCCTTTATGACCCGGTGATTCCGGGGCTTGATCGTTGTCTTTCATCAGCGGATGTTTAGATGAATTGAGGGCAGTAGGTGGTTTTGGAATGATCAGCTCTTCCTTTTTATTGAACATACCGTGCTCCTGGATAAGATGTGCATGTAACGCGTTTTTGCTGTCCATCCTTTTCGCACATATGTGGCACGTCACACCAGAACTGCCCTTCTTTTCATTTAGACCCTTGATCATACCCTGAAGCTTCTTCAGATCTTCGCTGAAGTGTTCTTTCTTGTTCGGCGTTGCGGGGGACCGCGGCTTCTCTCTGTTCGCCGGCGCTAGCGGCTGCGGCGGCGAAGTGGTGTGGCTGTTCTGCTGACCTGAGCCGTGGAAGTAATACCGGTGCATCTGCAGCAGATAGGCGCTTTGGAACGTCTTGGCGCAGAGCTCACATTCAATGCCGTCTGTGTTGTTGAGCTGGGACTCCGTTGGTGGCTCCAGCGGAGGACAGGGCTGCGGGTCGGTGCCGTTGACCCTCTCCTGATCTGGTTCCCCCTCGGGTTGCGGATCCCGCTCGACGGGTGGAGGAAGAGGTGGCGGTGAGCTCATGGCGTGTATCTTGTACCTGTGCATTTTCAGGAAATGTTTGTTGCAGAACTCCTTCCAGCAGATGTTGCAGAACGCGTCGACGTTTCTCACCCCGATTTGCTGTAGCTGCTCTTTGGATAAGTTCTTCGGCGGTGCTTCTCCGTTCATCGCCAGCTTGTCCATGAAGAGGTGCACGCCGGTCTGATGGTCGGCGACCTGCGCGGCGTCCAGCTGCTGCAGCAGGGACGGTGACGGGGCCGCCTCCAGCAGCTGGCGGCTGTCGTACGGGTCGGCCGGTGGCCGCGCCGGCGAGCCGCCGGGCGCCGCCGCCTCGGCGCCGTGCACCAGCTGCCGGTGGCGCTGCAGGTAGCAGGGCTCGCTGAACTCCTTCTGACACGGCTCGCAGAACGTGTCCGGGTGAGCGCTGCCCGGAGGACGCAGCGCGTCCGCCTCACTGGAGGGCCGGCCGGAGTCGCGGGAGTCGCCGCTGGGCGACAGACGCGGACCTCCGCCGGCGCCACCGCCGTGACCGACTCCATTGCCCACGCCGCCAGCGCTGGGCGGAGCGTCGCTGTAAACGCCATGCTTATTGGCCTTGTGTGTCTTCAGGAAGTACTTGTTGCAGAACTCCTTGTTGCACAGCTCGCAGTAGGCCTCCGGGTTGAAGATCTTCAGCGGCGCGTCCCCGCCGGGCGGCGGCTGCGCGGCCGGCGCGACGCCCGCCTGGTGCTGGAGGAACGACAGTAGGAACGGCGGAGGCCCGAACTGCAGAAAATTGGGCACGGGGAACTTGTCCTGGAAGGACGGCGGCAGCGGCATGGCCGTCGGCATGCCGGCCTCTGATTTCGGGGTGCCCACCTCCGGATACCGCCCCTCCTGCTCGGCACTGCCGTCCGGTCTCTGACCCGAGGAGAGGTTCAGAGGCAGCTCGCGACCGAAGATCGCGCTCTCCCCGGCGCCCGCGTCGGCGACCCCCATCCTTCTGACATGCTCCACCTCGATGTGGTATTTGAACTGCGCCTCGCTGGGGAAGGCGAGCGGGCAGTAGGGGCAGCGCAGCGGCAGCGGACCGCCGGCGGCCGGCTCGTCGCCGCCGCCGTCCTCGCTCTCACCTGAGCCCAGCTTCACGGGACATGACTGTTTGCGGCGCTTTTTGGCGGATCCGTAGGCGGACTCGCCGGTGTGTGGCCGCTCGGAGCCGCTGCCGTCCTCGGAGCGGCTGGCCGAGCTGTCCGGGTAGCCGGGGCTGGCCGGCTCGCGCTCGCCGAGCCGCTGCTCGTCGTCGGCCGGCGGCGGCGTCAGCTCGGCGCGGCCCGAGCCCACGCCGCCCAGCAGCGCCAGCGAGGCCATCGCAGCTGCGGTCTGAAACACACCGCCGTCCGGGACGGGCTGGTAAGGCGGCGAGATCGAACGGCAGGGACTACAAAACATATCTATATGTTATCCGCGCCGGCCCGGGCCTCGGTGACAGGTGACGGTAAATATAAAACATCGCTTCATCGGCCCGTGAGGATACTCCATTGTTTTTACAACTGACCAGCGAGTGCCAGGGTACATAGCATTGTCGAGGGAAGACCGTGTCATCATCTTCCGGGAGCCAGCAAAACTATCAGCTGTCGAATGACCATGAACTACACCTTTTTCCTTCAATTTGGAAAAGTTGGAGTTCAATTTGAAAAAAGATGCAAAAGATGCACTATAATTTGAAAAAGATAGTTATATTTGAAATAAGTGAATTTTAATTTGAAAAAGAAGAGATTCGATTTAAAGAAGATAAAACTCAATTTGAAAAATAAAGCACTTTAGATATTTTCACCGTCTCATTATGTTCACGGCCTTAATGAATCACATTGGTGCCATCGCCCATCCTTTATTGTTTTGGATCGCGCAGAATTTGTTAGAGATACCTAGCTGAAATTTCGAACTAACGCAATTATAGAACATAGATCCATATAACCCTGGATAGAGAATGGCCACATATAACATATGTCCTTTGATTCAAAGTGGGATCTTTTGCACTGCCCGTTTTTTTTTTAGGTCAGGTAAGGTGAATGGCCTATGACGCCATACGTAAGACGTCTCGTTTCAGCGAATACGCTCATTTTTTTCGAGATGCTTTAAATTGATTGAAATTTGAAGCAAATTGTTGTTAGGTGATCTCATATTTCCATTAAGCTCATGTGCATGTCAAATAACGATGATGCGACCGGCGAGGTTAAAGTCATCGGTTCCTTCTGCTCTATGCGTCTTAATTTTCCGCTAATGTCTCATGAATACGAGCAATGAGCAACAGTAAGCAATAAGTATGAGCAACAGTGCTTATGGGCACAAATAAATTGCAGTCGTACCTATTAACGGGTGTCAAGTTCAAAATGGGACAAACGCAAAATTAAGTTAGACACTGTGTATTACTAGATATTTTAACGAAACTTTCACCACATATACCTTGTTCTGTCGCCAGTCCACTGGTACTAATGAATTTGAACCAGGGGTCCATGCCTGTCTGCCAGACGCACGTGCTCTCCCGCTATCTTCATTATCGATCGCGGCACCTCCGGGACAATTTTATTGATGCTGCTCAGGATTCTGGCACGCAGCTGCTGATCGGATGACGCTGTCCAGCCACCACGGTAGACTTCTTGTTTAAGTATGCCCAAGAAGTCCTCAATTGGTCCCAGCTGCGGGACATTCGGCGGGTTTTCCTAGCGGATAAAATATCAGGTATGCCAGCCTCCTCCAGAAACTGGCACGTGGCACGTGCATAATGAGCTGAAGCCAAGTCTGGCCAAAATGCATATCCACCCCTTCGGTTGCTGTCCTCGATGAACGGTTGAGTTTGCTGTTCAGGCACTTTGTGATGTAGACATGGGCGCTAACATTTGTTGAACTGGGGCAAATTGTTGGTTTTGCTACTCCCTTGGGTGATATGGATATCCACACAAGAAGCTTACGTGGGAACTTTCCAATCGGACGGTAAGTCACATTCGAAGGTATGTCTCCACCAGGCCCAGCGTAAAAACCACGGTTTTGTGGCATTTCTGAGCCAGTGTAGGTTAAGTATGTAGCTTTCATCGTCCATGATGGCATCTTGCTCTCGAGTGGCACTCAGTTTTCCCCGGCTAAGGGGTCGCAGGCGGCCCTTTTGAGATTGTTCTCGCTGAGCAGATACCGGAGGAGCTTTCTGGCGCATCCAATATCTTACCCCTTCCTCTCTGAGAATGTGTCTCACTCGTCTCACTCTGTCATGCGTTATGCCAAAGCTGCGGCCTAAGAGACGAAGTGAGACGCCGACTTTGCCGTCTGCCATGCGAACAAGGCCTTGGCGCCTCTTTGCTGACATTTTGGGAGCAGGCCTGCCATTCTGAGCTCGTCGTATGTGTCCTTTGTCTAGGAATGTATTGATAACGCGATATATCAGTCGGTCGTGGAATACCAAGCGATTTAACGTGGCCTTAGTCAAGCTCGGGTTTTGTCAACTACTCTCGCGACAATGTCTCTTGCGGCTTGCTCGCTCAAAGGCTTCATGACGACTGACCTCAATACGTAGCCACAATATTTTAACATCATGCTCGTGCAATTCACGTATGGACATTCTGTCCAAATTTCAGGTGAATATCTAAAGGGAGGTTGAAAATAGAGCGATTTCAATTTTGTCTCATTTTGGACTTGACACCCTATTATCCTTCCCTGACAAATTTCAAAACGACGTCGAGCATTTTAGTTTGAATTTCATTTGTTTCAAATTGAATTCCAATTTTATATTGAAATTCACTAATGTCAAATTGAATTTTGTCTTTTTCAGATTGAAGTGCATTTTTTCCAAATTGAACTCCAACTTTTTCAAACCGAGGGAAATTGTAGTTCATCATCTCGTTTAGTCCCTGTCTTAAGGAAATCATCAAAGATGACAGCCTCGTTCAGCTACCCTTACGTTTTGAAAGCCTACAAATGGCAGCACATCTATAAACGAAACGTTTGCAGAATCGATAGATATCCTTTCACCAATGGCGTTACCACTTCTCTATTCCAGCACTTTTGGAAGGCTGATCCAAAGTACGCTGTTCTTATAAGAACAGCTGTCATTCACAGCCTTGTCATTCATGGCATATTGCTCAATTGATAATGCATTGTAAATGTCTACGTTATTGGATGCTTAAGATCAGTAATCATACAAACGATTTATTTGTGAATTTTTGGCTAAAATGCCGGCTAGATATGCGAGCTATTATGCTAGTTTACATTTTAGTCGTTCTGCGTTGTTGCGAATAAACTCGGCAGTTATCACTCTATGAACGCGAATCTTATTATTGTTCTGTGGTTACAGCGCAAAATTAATCGAGATTGATATAAATGTCACCAAGCTCAGATGATAGATATATGTAGATACTCTGGACGACTTGTGGGTAATATTCGAGAGAAGGTTTAAGTAAGACATTCAGTGAAAATATATGAAACTAAAGAGCGTGAGGCAGCGTCCCATCTCAGCTTCACCTGGCATAAAGTCCAGCTCCGACTTTTTAGCTACTTACGTCTCAGAAAGCTGCAGCCTAGAGGGGAGATTTCAGCAACTGCAGCTTGAGTTAGAACCGGCTCAGACGCCACCAGAACTTCAAATAAAGTGGAGAGTGATTTTCAGGCGGGCCAACTGTGGTGAGGAGCTGGCTCGCGTCAACCTCGCTCCATTCAACACTTGTGGATAACTCGTGAATGGAATTTCTTCAACTCAAACACGTGTGCATGGGGCGCTCATCAAACTTGAATGACATTCAACCCCGCAACAAGTGTGCTAGAAGGGGAGACATGTCAAACCGGGGCTGTTGTCTGCCGATTTTATCGCGTCGACTGCAGACGCCGCCTAGCTGACAGCTGGAGCGCTTGTCGCCAGCGTCTCTGCACAGCAGGAGCATGCCGTGTTTTTGTGGTGCCTAGGGAGGGGTAATGCTGTTTTTTGCTATTCCAACCACCGTACTGTAACATTGAAATACCTATATGTCTTTTTTTGGGGGAGGAAGCTGAATATTTTTAAACACGTACTACTTCTGGTCTTCTGCCATACCCTAACCCCGCTGTTGCTGGGGTATTTCGCTACGCATCACTTGCGGGGGGAGGGCTCAATTAACCCTCGCGGGCCCGGGGGGGGGGGGTGTTTCCCCTCTCGCGAATATTGGCGATAGCTTTCGAACGCTTAGGGATAAGAAAGCGAAACTTTCAGTACCTGTTCCCCCATCAATTTGACATCTTCTGCAAAAAATGGACCTAGCCCCCTTGATGACGTCACAGGGTCGATTTTTTCTAGATCCCTGCACGGCAAACTTCGGCGTCAATAAACGTGAACTCCAAATAGCTGCCAACAATAGTTTTAGAGATAAAGACAAATTACGAGCACGGTTGTGTAGGTTCGATCTAGCAAAAATACAACTTCAGTTTGGGTGACCTGAGGTCAGAGGTCAGGTCAACGACCCTCAGCTGGGGCTTCAGTTTTCGTAAATAACTACAACAAAAATGGTTCTAGAGCTACGGAAGTGGTACCAACGCATTCGTCTTGTCAATCCGCGTCAATTTTTTTATGAATTTAGTCCGAACCTTTTGAATGGAAGGTCACAAGGACAGAGTCCCGCTAAGCGGAGCTTGTTGCATTGACCCTGCCCTCTACTCTCCGTTCGCGCGATTCCGGTTCTATGGACTATGACAGAATTTGGAGTCCGAAGTTCAACGTGCGCACATAGCCGCGCACGGCCATCCGCCGTGCGCGGCTCAGCGTCCCCTCACTGACTTCGCCTGGCTACGGCCTGCTACCTACCGCAACCATACCTGTCAGGAGGCCCATAAACGTCAAGCGCCGGTCGCGCTTCGAACCCGGACTGTTATAACCGGGAACGCGTGCTCTCACCACGCGGAGTCCAACGCTCTGCCGACTGAGCTACGGGACCGGCGTAGAATGACACATATTTTCTTCCGAAAAGGTCAAGTTTTATGTTGACCTTATGTGACTTCGAATGACCTTTGGTTGACCTTGACACATGAAAGGTCGTATATGATGGAGTCGTATCCGCTGATCACGAATCTGACCTCCATTTTGCTCAAAGCATTCATTTAGAGCCCCAGGATGGCAAAATTGTCTTAATTATTATGATTGACTTGAATCGGTGAAATAGCCCCTAGCGAGGATACTCTTCCGTGACCTTGATATTGGAGCGGCCTTGTATCGCAAGATTAACCACAAATGGGGGCCCGATAAGCCTCAACGTTTTTCAAAAATGGAAAGAAAAAAA